CTAGGTTCCCTTCGTCCTTGTCGGAGCTTTCATAACCTTCTATAAAAAATAAGATTAATTAAAATTTTAAGTAATTAAACCTTCCAACTCTAATCTTATCTGATTACAAATATCCTGATCATCTAAAATTCCATGGCAGCTAGCATCATCATCGTGTAACGCATATTCTTCAAATATGGGATCAAATTCATCTTCTTTGTTGTCAGTTAATGCTATATCATCCTCTGATTTTCAATCAAATGCCATAGACTTATCAAAAAATTTAGCTTCAATAAAACACTTTATGATTGTGGTACTTGTCACCTCACCCCATGCAAATTTTATAAGATAGAGGCTATCATAAAGTGTAAATCTTTTATAAAAAGAAGTGGTGTCATTTCCTTCCATCAATGTTATCATTTTTCTCATGATACCCTTTCTATAATGACATTTAAAGGATCTAATTGCACCCATGTCCAAAGGTTGAATTAATGATGTTGTATTTGGTAAAAAAATTAATTTTATATTGTTAAATGTTAATTTTGTTTTGTGACAAGATGCATTGTCACAAAACAATAAAATTTTCTTCTTTAATGAGGAATCCCATTCTTTAAGAATATCTTCAAAAGTTGAGGTTGTCACCCAGCTGCTTTTATTGGAGTAGTATTTAACTGGTAATTTTTTATTTTTAAAGCACCTAGGGTTTTTAAATTTCCCTACAACATATAACTTTTTATCAGGTCCATCCCCATTTATGATAAATAGAACTGTGACCTTTTCCTTGTCTGGTTTGAAGCCCAGTGGTTGAGTTCCACTAAATTCCATTGTGCCCTTTGGTAATGCTCGGTAGTATAGTCCTGTCTCATCACAATTGTAAATATTACTCCTTTGATAATCTTTAATCAGAGATGGGAGTGTATTTCTGCTCCATTCATTTGCATTAATAATATCTGCACTCCCCTTTTCACTGCAAACATTATGAAAATTTATATTCTGTCTTTTCATAAATCTTTGCAACCAGCTGCTAGTAGGAATGCCTATAATTTATATATATATATTATAAAAACTTATAATTACCTTCATTGAATGTTTGACTAAAAAACATAGCTTTTTCTAACATCACTGGCCCATTTAGACTGCAATTTTTACTTCGCATTTGGGTAAACCAAACCAATAAAGCTGCTTCTGTCTTTGGGTAACAACTCATTCTAACATTTTTAGTTGTAGGAGGTTTATTCCTTAGAAATTGTGAGCATAGATTTTTTTATTCGCTATTAAACGGTAGATTGTCGAGACGTGGCAATTGTAATTTGATGCTAATTGTGTTTTTGATGTAGTGTTTAATTTATCAATTATTTCTTTTTTATGCTTCAGGGTTAATGTTTGGAATGATTTTTTTACCATTTTTATATTAATTTCTGGCGTGGTAATGAATGAATGAATGAATGGAAAAAGGTTAAATAAAAAAAATGATGAATAATTTTTTTCGATAAATTTTTTTTATTTTTTCACTTATTTGATTAAATTAACGTTATTGTTATATAAATGGGACCTGAAAAATTTTGCAATTATCCGATATTTCGCAATTAACCGATTCGCAATTATAAATGTAATTTAACATTATACCATAGTAATTATTATCAAAATCGCGGGGTTTTTTCACATTTAAAAGTTTTTGCACTTAAGCGATATGCAATTAAACGGTTTTGACTGTATGCCTAAAAAAATTGGCATAAGAGAAATGAAGAAATCCAGATTGCGACTTACAGCCTACGATGGAAACTTGATTAAGATCCTTAGGACAACTCAAGTCAAAGTAAGTTATGAAGAAATCACTAAATATTTACTAGCAGTAGTTGTAGAGTCAAGAAAGAACAAGAATCTGGATCAATGTTTTTAAAAATATTTTAAATAAATTCATAGGAAATATCGACACCAAATATGAAGACGAAATTAATAAACTAATTAAAGATTGTGATTCCAAATTGACCAGAGAACCAATTAACAAAGTAAATGTCAAATTACAATTAAGATGTGACGCCCAACCTAAAATAATATTACCAAGACATATATCTTATTCAAAGATTAATCTTGTGGGCGAAGAACTAAATAGATGGATACATGGAAAAATTATTGAGCCGGTAAAAGATGTGCGATGGGCGAGTCCTATAACCGCAGTATACAAAGATGATGGGAGCATCAGGCTTTGCGCTGATTTTAAAGACACTATAAACCCAGCTCTAGAAGACTTCAGATACCCACTTCAACCTATAAATGATCTTATAGCTAAACTTTCGGAAGGAAAAAATTTTACCAAAATCGATTTCAAAAATGCTTTTCTACAAGTTCCGATCGATAAAAATAGTAGAAATCTTATGACTATATCCACACATAGGGATACTACCTATTTACCAGACTTCCTTTTGGGTTAAAAACTTCATTTGCTATATTCCAACAAATCATGGATCAGATTTTCGGTGATATGAAAGATGTTATATTTTATATTGAAGACTTAGTAATAACTGGAAGTAACGATGGAGCACATTTAAACAACCATCAAAAAGGTGTTTGAGAGAATTTTATCCTACGGTTTAGTACCTAACTTCGCCAAAAGCTTATTTTTTAAAAATAAAGTTAGGTTCCTGGGTCACGGTATAGACGACAAGGGGATTCATGCTAACCATAATAAAATTGAAGCGATATTTAACATGCCAGAGGCAAAATCAGCTGCTGAGTTACATTTCTGGGTATGGCTGGTTATTATAGAAAATTTTTGAATAACTTCGCTGATATTGCTGATCCGTTATACAAAATGGTCAACAAAGAAAAATGGGAATGGAACTTAAAACATTTCAGCAATTTTAATGATTTAAAAAAGTTGATTAGTCTCCCGCCAGCCTTGAGTATTTTAATCCGGAATTACCTATTGAGATTGCGAGTGATGCATCCAAATCTGGATTAGGGGCTATATTATTTCACACAGTGAAAGATAGCAAAGAAAAACCTATAGCTTTTGCGTCTAGAACCTTAGCAAAATCTGTAATAAATTATACCAATATTGAGTGTGAGGCTCTTGCCATAATGTTCTCAATTAAAAGATTTCAAGAATATTTGATTGGGACTAAATTTACTATCATCACGGACCATAAACCAATAGTCCATATTTTTACCAAGGGACTCAAGAACAATAGTACCATGTCCTTAAGGTTACAAAAGTGGAATATAACTTTGGGGGTTACGACTTCAACATAAAGTATAAAGCAGGTAAATAAAATGTTGTTCCTGACTGCCTTTCAAGATTACCACAAGAAATTGGTGATGATGTTATTGGAAATATTGAAATTGAAAATAACTTTGCAGATACACCTATTAATTTTAATAAAATACATGATGAAACATACAAAGATTTAGAATTATCTCAAGTAAGGAATAATGAGCCTATAAGAAATAAAACATATGAAAATATGGAATTAGAACTCAGCGTTATTAAAGATTGTCTTTTCAAAAACAACAAAATTATTATTCCATCAAGTTTAAAAAAAAATGTACTGCAGACATTACATGAAAGTCATTTGGGAGCTGGTAAAATCAAATCCTTAGCCAAAGATTTTATGTGTGGTCTGTATGAATAATGATATAGAAATGGAAGTTAAAAGTTGTGATGATTATAATATTTATCACGACAATCCTAATAAAATACAAAATCCATGGGTCTCGGCGACTAAACCATTTGAAAGGACCACATAGATTATGCGGGTCCATTTTGTACCAATATGGGATTGATATTTATATTACTGAGGCTAGTGGGAGAGACTGAACATAATGCAATATATATAAAATTTATTGAATTTGGTGATCTTACGGAATACCCTAAATGATTCTCTTTTATTTCAAATCTTTTATTTTATTCCACTTTTAATATTCCAAAAAATTATAATTTCGTAAAAATTCATAACGAAAATAAGTAATAAAAATTATATGTTTCTTTTTCAACTATCAAAAATATCCATATTCATAGACATTTTAAACAAATTATATTTATTTGCATACAAAAAAATCAATGAAAGTTCATTTATATAAATTTGAATACCACTCAATTAAGAAAAGCTCAACTAAATATATATTTGCATACAACACCTCCACCCTTTAAGATTATCTTTCCAAGGCTTCCTTCGTTAGTGCCCCACCTTCTCGCACTTCCAACTCTGAACCGCTCATTGAAGACGTTGTTGTCGTCGGACAAAACCTTAATTTATGCATTCCCCCGCATGCCCAACATGCTAATCGACTCTTCCGAACCCAATATGGCTCCACTCGTCGTTCTTTCCTTTGTCTTCTGGGTGTTTCCTGCAGTAACTCTCCGTATCTTTGTTGCGCTTCTACCCTTGCTGCTTCGATCCATATGTTTGATTCCGCCGATCCACCTGCTTCCCTGATTTCCATCTTGATAATCTTGTTTCCTACTCGGACATATGATGCCATCTATAAAATTACTATAAAAATATATATCTTTCCTAATCTTCTAATAATCTACTATTCACCTTATAATTTCTTCACCGTTTAAACCCTCATAATTAGGTCTATCATTAAATTTATTTCCTTGAGAATGATTATTCTCCTCATTGATCTCTTGAAATTATGATTCTCCTAATTATGTCTATAATCAATTTTCTTCATCTAACGATATGATTGTCAAATTAGATCTATCATCAATTTATCTTCTTTTACTTGTATCCCCTTATGATTCTCATCATTATGTCTATCATCAATATGATTCTCATAATTATGTCTATCCTCAATTTATCTCTTTAACAATTGATTCTCATAATTAAGTATATCATTAATATGATTCTCATAATAATGTCTATCATCAATTTATTTCTTTTAATTGTATCCCCTGATAAATTATGATTCTCATCATTTTGTCTATCATCAATATGATTCTCATAATTATGTCTATCCTCAATTTATCTCTTTAACAATTGATTCTCATAATAATGTCTATCATCAATTTATTTCTTCTAATTATCTCCCATATCTTTTACTTGCCCTAAGCTTCTCAGTCTTACTTGTTTTACGTGTCTAGTAAAAGTGCCTTCTTGCCCTTCAATTTCAATTTCTACTTCTACTTTCTTTTTTCCTATATTCTTACTTATTATACCCTTCCCCCATTTAACTGGACCTTCAAACAGTAGAATCCATACTAGACTTCCAACTTTAAATTTATCATCATATGTATCCTCCTTTTGCTTTATTCTTTCTTTCAGAAAATCTAATTCCTTTCTTGTTTTTCTACCTAAAAACATTTCTGATGGTGAATTTCCTTTGCTTGTTTTAGTATTGTTATATGCTAATAATAACAACCACCATTTTCCCTCTCCATATTTTTCTTTTTTAGCCAGCTTTTAACAATAGCTACCATTCTCTCGGCTTGCCCATTACTTCTCGGGTAATGTGGTGGCGATACTAAATGTTTAATATTCCACCTATCACACAATTGATTAAAAACTCTACCTTTAAATGCTGGGCCTCCATCCGAAACTAAAGTTTCCATTAATCCATATTTACCTGCAAAATCTTTTATTTTAGTCAACGCTATCTTTGTCGTTAAACCCGAAACCTATTGACAATCTATTTTCTTTCTTTCTTTCTTTCTTTCTTTCTTTCTTTCTTTCTTTCTTTCTTTCTTTCTTTCTTTCTTTCTTTCTTTCTTTCTTTCTTTCTTTCTTTCTTTCTTTTATCTTTCTTTTATCTTTCTTTTATCTTTCTTTTATCTTTCTTTTATCTTTCTTTTATCTTTCTTTTATCTTCTTTTTTCATATTCTAAAAAATCTACATGTATTCTTTTACATGGAATGTCCGTCTCTGGCCATTTATCTGCTTTATTCCTTGGTGGTACATTAGCCCTCATGTTACATGTCTCGCAGCTTCTAGCTAATTCTTCAATTTCACTATTCATCTTAAAATATATTCTCTTGCTTTATTCTTCATTCTTTCTATGCCTTGATGTCCTGAATGTAATACGTCTAATGTATCTTTTCTTAACTTAATCGGTATCACTAATCGATATCCTCTCAATAAACAATTGTCTTCTATATTTAATTCATTCCTTATATTTTTAAAAGCTTTGTCTTCACCTTTCCATTCTGCCTCTCCTTTCAAACAAGTTCTAATTCTTATTAATTCTTCATCTTTTTTGGATATTTCCTCTATTCTTTCAAACGTTATCGGTTCTTCTCTTGTATCTATCTTCAAATCTCTTATAACTTTGCTATTTAATATTTCCTCCTCTTCTATATATTCTAAACTATTGATTACTGTATCCTTGTTTGTACTGTCTTTTTTAAACAATCTCGATAATATGTCTGGTAAACAATTTTGTTTACCTGCTCTGAATCTTATTTCAAAATCGAAATTACCAACTAAAATTAACCATCTCTGTAGTCTTGGTGACATCATAAGTTCTTTATTTTCTTTTTTGCATAAATCTACCAACGGCTTATGATCCGTTCTTCCTATCAGATATTCTTTGCACTTCTCTAGCCCGAATTTCACAGCCAGAGCCTCTCTCTCGATCGTGGAGTAATTTTTCTCAGTGCTACAAAACCGTCTCGATAAAAATAAAATCGGTTTCTCAACCTTATCGGTCATCTGTAATAAAACTCCTCCTATACCTTCATTAGATGTATCAACCGCTAATATAATATCCAATTTCTCATTAAAACAATTTAAAATCGGTTTCTCTACCATCTTAATCTTCAATGTTTCGAAACTTTTCTCCTGTGTTTCTCCCCATTCACACTTTTTATTTTTCTTTAATAAATCATACAACGGTGAGGCGATTTCTGCAAAATCTTTAACAAACCGATGATAATAATTCGTTGCTCCCAAAAACGCCTGTACTTCCTTCTTATTATTTGGGGCTCTCATATTCATTATCTTATCTATATTCTTTGCAATTGGCGTAATTTCATCTCCCTTTATAATATGTCCTAAATACTTTATCTTTCTTGTTCTAAAAACACTTTTATTAATATTTTTAAACCATTTTCTAATATAATATCTAACACTTTAACTAACCTAGCATTGTGTTTTTCTTCTGTTCTACCAGATATCAAAACATCGTCTAAATGATACATTATTCCCTTTATTCCTTGAAATAATGCCGCCATCGTCTTTGAAATATTGGAGCTGATACTTTCAAACCAAATGGTAAACTCTATGAGTTGTAATCGTTAATATCTTACTTGTTCTCTCACTTACCTTTATTTGTAAGCAGAGTTGTTAAAATATAAAAATGTAGTATCTGTATCTAGATAGATTTTTTAGAAAGGTATCTGTCTGTATGTAGATAGATTTTTTAGAAAGGTATCTGTATCTCGATATTTTTTAGAGGTATCTGTATCTGTTTAGATACTTTTTAAGATACATTTTATATACCCCTTTTTTTATTATAAATAAAAATATTTGACTGTAAAATTTATTTTATTTCATCTGTTTACCACTCTTAGATGCCTTACTTAAAGGGATTGAGGATAGGTAAATTAATATAAAAAATTAAAAATATTTAATAATTTTAGGTTTATTGTGACCTTATTTGAAGATGATAATATTATAGCAACCACGCTCCACCCTTTTTTTAAACTTGATTGGACATGGTTGCAAATGGAAGAAAATCTTAATTAAAAAAACAATTGATACAAAGGTAAGCTGGTGAATTATCAAAGTCATCAACTGACTGCAAGCAAATAACCTGCCAAAAAAAACAAATAATTTAATTTCAGATTTTTTTCAGTACCCTACAGCAGATATAATTTCTATTAATGATTTAAATTTTGATAATCAACAAATTTTAAATAATTTTTTCAAAAATGAATGTAGAGATTTTAGCATTTTTAAAGAATACCCTGATATAAAATTGTTATTTATTAAATATAACACTACAATTCCTTCAAGCGCCCCTGTGAAGACTATTTAGTGTTGCTAAAAATGTCTTTACAGATAAACGAGGATGCCTAAATGATCAAAATTTTGAAAGTATTTTATTACTGAAATCCAGAGTTGTTAAAAGATACTTTTTAAATGGATCAAGATACAGACACATCGTCTAAAAAAATATCTAGATACCGATATTTTAATCAAAAATCTATCTAGATAAATATACAGATACCACATTTTTATATCTAGATACAGGATCTAGATACTTGTATCTAGATCTTTTAACAACTCTGCTGAAATCTAATAATTATTTATAATTATTTAATCATATATTTTCATATATTATATTAAAATCATTATTTTCATATATTATATTAAAATCATTATTTTCATATATTATATTAAAATCATTATTTTAGTTATATTCTGATAAATGTTATATCGCGTCAATAAATTTTTTAGCTCATTTCATGAATTTTCACAATATAATATTAATTTAGCTTTATGCAAACCTATAAGAGCATTTTTTAAAAATTGTATCTGTATCTTGATAACTTTTTAGACGCTGTATCTGTATCTAGATAACTTATGAGACTATGTATCTGTATCTGTATCTGTATCTAGATCCATTTAAAAAGTATCTTTTAACAACTCTGTTTGTAAGTAAGCATTCGAAAAATCTATTTTTGAAAAAATTGTTGCTCCTCTTAAATTAGCCAGCAATTGTTCTATTCTAGGTAATAAATATCTTTCGTTTATTACCCACGGGTTAACTGATACTCTATAGTCTATACACAGTCTTAAACTGTTGTCTGGTTTTCTTATGGGAACTAACGGTGTGCCCATACACTATGCACTATTGGTTTTATAATTCCTTCTTTTAACCATTTGTCTAATTCCTTATTTATATCTTCTATCCACGAAAACGGCAATCTTCTTGTGCTGCAATATTTAGGTCAATAACCTTGTTCTAATCGTATATCTACTTCAAAATCTCTAAGAGTCCCTAATTCTTCTTTAAAGACTTCCTTATATCTATTCAAAATAATCTTTATTTCTTTGTTAAAATTGTCCTCAACAACATTCAGTTCTACCCTTTTATTAATTTCTTGTTGTTTATCTTCGACTGTATTTACCTCTATTGTCTTTATATCTCTTATTTCCTTATTTTCTTCTAAGTTACTTCTATATCTAATTAAAAATTCTGGTGTTCGATTTTTGAGTATATCGAGAACTATATCCTGTTTAAAACTTAAACAAGGTAAATCAGTCTTCTCTTTATTCACACTTCTTATTATCTCATTCGTTATTTTGTTTTTCTCACGGACATTTTCAAACATAGACCACCAATTATAATCAGGACCTATCTTTTCAATGTCATTCCAACCTAAAATAGGCTCTATCTTTAGTGTCGTAATCCATAACTTTACTTCCTTATTTATATCTAACAATTTTATCACATAAAAACCTAAAATTTTAACCATGCTACCGTCTAATTGTCTAACCTTTATTCTCTTTGCAATGAATCTTTCTTTTGGAAAATATTTATTAAAATCTTTTACAGTCATTAGGTTAATCTCCGTTCCTGTATCCAATAAAAAACATATCTCTGCTTCTTCAGCCTTTATCTTGACTCTCGGACATTTATTTTTCATTAAAAAATCCTATAATTTAATTTTTCGTACATCTACACCAGTTCAACCTTTTATTCTATATATTTCAAAATTCCTACTTTCTATCTTTATATTTCTCTCTTTACCTATACTTTTATTATCATTATTCAAATTATAATTATCAACATTAAAACACTCATTATCATCACCGGATTTATCATTAACATAACAATACTTATTCTTACTTGAACTAAAATTATCAACATTAGAAAAATTATTATCATTACCAAATTTATCATTATAATTAAAATATTTATTCTTACCTGAATTAAAATTATCAACATTAGAAAAATTATTATCATTACAAAATTTATCATTAAAATTAAAATATTTATTCTTACCTGAATTAAAATTATCAACCTTAGAAAAATTATTATCATTACAAAATTTATCATTAAAATTAAAATATTTATTCTTACCTGAATTAAAATTATCAACATTAGAAAAATTATTATCATTATATCATTAAAATTAAAATATTTATTCTTACCTGAATTAAAATTATCAACATTAGAAAAATTATTATCATTACAAAATTTATCATTAAAATTAAAATATTTCTCTCTTAGTCATTTATTGCAATTTTCTTGTGTGTGTCCTTCTTGGGCACAATTATTGCACCTTACAATTGAATTGTTTACTCTGCAACTTATAGCCACGTGGCCATTTTTGCCACACCTCGCGCATCTTAGATTCTTTGTTATCTCACACTGGCGCGACATGTGGCCCGGCTGACCACAACTATAGCAAATTATCTGTCTGTAATTAACAGTTCGTATGAAGTTGTTTATATTTCTTTTCTTATCTTCCTCTCTTAATATATTCTTAATAATCTCTATCTTAACGTAAGTCGTATTTCTTCCTATAATTAAACCTAACGTGAAACTTAAAATTAGCAACAAAAATATAATTATACTTATATTTTCAAGTATTAAACTTAATAAATTTATTTGCGTAATATACATTAAAGTGTACTCAATACCACTTGATTAAAATAATTTTAACTAATCTTAAACAATTAAATAAATATAAACATACGAATAAAACCAATACAATGATCTAAAATTTATATAACATCAATAAGAAAACCGAAATTATCAAAAAAATTATATATATTTATTTATTTATTTTTTTTACCTGGTTCCAAAGTATAATTAGACTGACCTTCGGTCTTCTAAAGCCTGGATCAATGACTGTAAGGCACCACTGTACCAATATGGTATTGATATTTATATTGCTGAGGCTAGTGGGTGAGACTGAACATAATGCAATACATATATAATTTATTGATTTTGGTGATCTTACGGAATACCCTAAATGATTCTCTTTTATTTCAAATCTTTTATTT